TTTTTTTTATTTATATTAATTTAGTTGTAGAGTGTATTAAAATTGAAAATATGTTCAACAACCAAATTGAAAGTGTATTAAAGGGCCTCATATTCATTTTGATAATATGTGTTTTTTGGTTGTATTTAATATGTATTTTTTTTATACGAGCGATATTCTACTTTAATCTAATCTAAAATACGAGGAGGGGGATTCGAACTCTAGAGCAGAGTGGGGAAAACATCCACTCTAACCAACTTGACTAAGCCCATGTCTGCAATATGTATTTGTTTTATGCTAAAGTTTATTGGAAATTAGCATTTAGCCATGCACTCGAGGTCCTAGAATAAACAAAAAAAAAACTTATTGGAAATTAATCATGGAATTATGAACAAGCGTGGGTTTTATGATTTAATGTATACTTTTATTTCTAGAAAAAAAACTATAAAAATTGCAAGTACCAAAAAAAATATATTATTTGGTTTTTAAGCTAGCCACCCATTGAAAAATTTATGGTTCCGCCATTGATGTTACATGTAACATTTTTTTTCTTTTAAAACAAAGCTTATTTATGTTTGAAATAAGCATATGCTTATTATTTTTCTTAGGGTTAAATACCTTTTTGGTCAGTTGGTTTTACACGAAAATTCAATTTGGTCACTCAAAAATAAATTTAGCCAAATTAATCACTATGTTTCCTAAACCTTTATCTTCCGTTAAATGCAATTAATTTTTTAAGGAAGCACATTCAGTCTTCTTTCTCTAATTTACTCAACCAGTTAAGGTATATTATGCTATTAGGGTTTAACAAATTGGGGGAAATCTTGTGTTGAAATCAAAATTATGATGTATAAGATTACAGATTGGATGCTATATTGAAGCCTGAATTGATTCATTTAGAATCACATTGTGACTTCAGATGGCAATCAATGTGATAGAGCACCAAAATATGTTGGTAAGTTGTTGATTTCATTTTAATTTGGTTTGGCGTTTTGATTTTCCTTATATCTCACAATTTCGATTTCAACCTAAGATTTCCCCCAATTTGTTAAACCATAGTATCCCAATATTCCTTAACTCGTTGAGTTATAAGAAGAAGACTAAAAAAATAACAATAAAAACTGCACTTAGCAAAAGATAACGGAATTTCCATATCAATTGTAAACTTTGGAGAACACAGTGACCAATTTGGCTAAATTTTTTTCTCAGTGACTAAATTGAATTTTCGTGTCAAACCCAACGACCAAAAAAGTATTTAACCTTTTTTCTTATGTTCATAGTAAATAAAGTACTCTCTTACTAAACTTTTGATGTGAAAACAAATGCTTATGTACGTAGTAAATATGGATAACAGTTTTATGCAAAGATTGAGTTGATAAAATTTCTAAATTCACAAGAGCATTTGTGTTGTATGGCATGCGGACCCTACGAATGCAGCTTTTCGAACAGCTAGCTCCCACTATGAATTATAAATTGACCAAATACTGTATGGTATTGGACCTGAGTTTCTACTTTCTAGATCTTCAACAAAATGAATTTAATGAATGGTGTGGACGGAAAGAAAAGGATCAAACAAAAGATTTTTCTTTTGCCTGGGAGATCAAACAGAAGTTAAAGAACACTTTTTTCTTTTATTTCTGGTGATAAAAAACAATCCAACATGGTAATATATTTTTTTCCTATCATTATTTTATCCAAAGATAAACCAATCGGCTTCTTTATCCATATCAAAACAACAAAAAACTGTCTGGCATATATGATATACCTACCGACTAGCAATTAGGTCAGAGGGTGTTTCTTGCAAAAAAAGGTCTTAATTTGAATCCCTCCTCACCAATTAATAAAATAAAAAATAAAAAAAAGAAGTTGACCCAGATTTTAATTATTGGACCAACCAAGGGTTCGATCTTCTTATCATGACAATGAGAAAAAAAAATATATCTAAAAACCAAATATGGGTGTAGTGAGCAAAATTTAGGTGTCCTTACCATGGCAACTAGCGGCGAGCCGTACATGATGATGTTTAAGCCTGCACAAATGAACCCTAGTGCATCAATACGTGTCTCTCCCTGCAATGCCAGCCAGGTAGCTAAAATGGCTGCTGCTAGAAAACCTACATCCAAGGTTCCAATCAAGATGGCCGTCTTTGCCTGAAATGTTGTTGCAGACATCAAATAGATCGTCAATTGAGATATACCACAAACGAAACAAAAAAGACTGTGAATCTGGACCGTACATTCAACAAAAAGATATATAAAATCAATCGTCTGAATTCACAGTCTGTAACGAAAAGAGTGAAGAAAGTTAAACATTACCCTCATCTTTGCTGAGGCATATACTAGAAACAAAGTAAGGTAGATAATCTCAACAACGACACCAAAACCATTGACAGTGGCCACAAGTAATCCTCCGGCGGGCCTTATAATTCCATAGTAAGTCCACAAGAAGGAGTTGAGGAATGTGCAAACATAAGGCAGACTCTCAAAGTCCTCCGTCGATCTGTGCTTTACAATTCTCCAAAATGTTCCACTGCATTTATATATAATTCAAAAACTCTTAGCTCTTTCTCTTTCAAGGGGTTTGGAAGCTTAGTTGAAACTATTATCATGAGATTAAGATCTTACACAGGAGCAAGGAACATTAGCACTGAGATGATGTTGCCTGCAAAGTATAGGAAAAATTGCCATCAGAAAAGATTATGCTAAAAGAATTACATACTAATTAAATAATTCATGCAAATTAAAACTTAATTAGTGGTTTTCTTATACCTATGACCCCAACAAATAAAATCAAGCCTTCCATGTTTTTTCCTCTTCAATTTGGATCAGGCGCCAGGAGAGAGCTAGCTAGCTAGGAGGTTGAAGAGAGAGAGAGAGAGAGAGAGAGAGAGTTTGTTTCTTCAATTTTAA